AATTGCAGTAACAGGATCTTTCGGAACCAAAATATGAGGAATATAATTGAAAGCAGATCTTATTCTAGTTTGTAAGTATTTTGACTCACTGAAGCCACCAACTAAATAAATAGCAGCACAATCACTATGTGAACTATTTAATTGTAAGCTTATTAAATTAATTATTTGATTAATTACTGGATCAAACATTGCTTTAACGGTATAAAAATCAATATCTATTATCCATTCATCTTCTTCCAATTGATCTCTTAAAGAACCTTGAACATATTGTTTAATAGCAGGACAAAATTCGTTAAAATCAAATTCAAAATCATTGAATCTTTCAAAATCTCCAGTAAAAACCGTTTTAATAAGTCTACAAAATTCTTGAATCATATATTGAAATTGACTATAATGATTTTTTTGAAGTAATCTGAGAGCTGAAGCACCAACTATACTTTTAATAAATTTTAAAAATTCTCTGTCAACGTAAGAACTACCATAAAAACCACCAGTACGTTCAGTGATTTCACCCAATTTATTTCCTCTCAATAATTTTCTGGTTGTAAGATCTATAGTACCACCCCCACAATCGACTAATAGGAATGTTCTTCCAACTGGAAATTCATAACATTCTTTTAACGTATCTATACAATATATTGCAGCAGCTTCGGCTAAAATAATTAACAATAAATATTAATACCGTAATATAAATATTAATATTATTAATACACGGTAGGTTAAATAAAAAGATACATACGTTCTGTAGTAAATTGTAAATTTTGAGAATTAGGTGTCTCTATTAACTCTGCGTTATATATACCTAAATAATATTATCATTATTATAAAAAAAAAATTGAGAAATTTTAATAGCATAGTATTCAAGATAAAAAAAATCTTACATTCTCTCATTATTCCTTTTACTTTTTCAGAAAATTCGGCAGGAACCGCAAATACCAGTAGAACATTTCTTAAAAAATCAATACCAGGCCAACGTTTGTCTATGGTATCTTTTACCACCTACATAACCAAGAGATAAATTGTGCTAAGTAGATTTTTAAATTATGTACGGTGCAGGATGTCTTAACAATTTTTGTTAATTTTTTTTTAAAAAAATTTTTTTTTGGCTCAAATGTAGAGACGAAATTCTAGTTAAATTACCAATGGAAATTTGAAAATTTTACCTCTACAATGATTTAAAAATAATTGTCAAGACACCCTGGACCATTATCATCGAAGCATAATAGATATAATAATACATACTGTGCCTTTATTTAAAAATGGTAAAAGGATTTATAAAAAAAAAAAAAATTAAAAAAAAATAATAATTTGAAAAAATAAATATATCGATATATTCTGAAAGTACCTAATTCTCTGAGATAATCAGTTATTGCTTGTTTATAATGCAAAGTTTCGGGTAATATCGGTTTGTCATCATCTGGAATATCACCCAAATGTAATTTAAATAATTCAACGTGTATCGAATTATTCGATTTTTG